ATTATTCTTCCTTAGGTTACAAAATTTTGGATTAGACAAAATTATAACATTTTGGAGTCAAGGATTAGTTAAATTACAACATTTTAGTGACGAAGATTTATCCAAATCTGAAAACGTAACTGACATTTTGGTGTGACGAATTTGGCCGCAAATCAAGGAAACGTTCACCAGCACAACTTTGGCGATAAAAGATATCGAAAAAAATCTCACGTTAAAATTCACCAAGGCTTCATTGTTGAAAAAATCAAAATGGAAGACTTTAAAACGATTCTATTAGAAATGGTCAAACGGTAAGACGAACAGCAAAAACGGTAGGAACAAAAATTCGAAAAACACGTGGAAATATTGGTAAAACAATAGAATATGTTCACGAATAATAAGAATGGATATTCTGAAGACGCTATCGGAAATGCGATTAAGGAATTTCCCTATCTACCCGAAAAAGAGTTAACTTTTTCGTCGTATTTCCGTAGATACGAAAATTTGTATAAGACTGAATGTGCAAACTGGTCCTTTTGCTAAGGAAATTATGCGCTGTCAAACACACTAAATTCGTAAACTATATATTACCAAAGAAGACTAGTGACCTCACATTTAAATAAACGGTTACTTTGCTTTCGGAAGTTTTCATTCCGAAAACGTTTTTGTTCCAGCAAAGATGGAAATGTATGAATTTAGTGAAAAACGAAGATGACATCTTCACAGCGTTCGCGAACACTGTGAACGAAAATATGTAAAAAGTTCAAATTGGCGGAATTAAGCCCTGACAATTTTAAAGGCTTGATATTTGTGCAATGGTTGGCGCCAACAAAAGACGCTGAAATCCCAAGAAGGATTTTTAAATAATTTGAAAAACGAACCCAATTTAACGTTGCAAAACTTAGCAGAAGATTGTCAGAAATTTATAAATGTTTGTCAAGATGCCAAAGATCTTGAAATAAGCGGCGTGTTGCACATTAAAAAAGAAGTGCGTCAAAAATATAAAGTGAAGAAGGCAAAAAACATCACGCCTAACCCCTGTTACGCTTGTGGAGAATTACATTGGTATAAGGATTGTCCTTACACCTGCCAGCAGCAAGTCAGCTCGGCCCGACAAAGTAAGACTGGTAGCTGCACTCGAAGATAACTTCCAATAATTGTTGGGGCACGCAATGGCTTGTGAGTTTTACCCCCAAAAAAAAACAAAGCTGATATCTTTTAATCATCATAGAGAACATTTTCAGCCTTCCTTTAGTAGAGCAACTGTTTGCACCTTTCCTTGGCGCACCCTTTCCACTGACATGATCAGATTGGTTGATTCCCTCCGGAATTTTGACCTCTCGAATGTAGCGATCACTTCCTTGCACAATTTTGCGCCCATGTTCACAGCTTCGGAAGACATTTTACTTGACCTATGTCTAATTATCTGATCCATGTAGCGCTTGCTAGCCAATTAAATGATAACAATAGAAAACTTATCTCCCACTCTATTCTCAATAAAATCTTATATTAATACTAATTTAGTCAATTGCTAGGTCTACTGCTCGGAAAGTTAGTTCACCATGTCAATAGTTGACGCTCCATACGAGTTGCCTTATGCCAAAACTAAGTCAGTAATTCTTTCTGTCAAATTATGCACGTGGGCCCAGAGAGAGAGAGAGAGAGAGAGAGAGAGAGAGAGAGAGAGAGAGGTGGGGGGAAGAACGAAATATTATAATGATACCAGAAGACTGCAACTCTGTCCGAAAACAATAATGGCCTGTCGTTCGTTGATTACTGGCTATACGAGGAAAACGAAGAAGATATTTGGCTGAAAAAACGTGGACATGTCCCAAACTGAAAACCGATATTATGAATAATTTGTTGGTTTTATGAAGCTTTTGGCATTAAACGAAAAACAATTCGCAGTCTACGTTGTTTTAGCGGACACACGAAATAATTAGACGAAAACAAGATCGATCAGTTAATTAGACAAAAGCTCATTAATACAACAAGGAATGAACTTTTGTTCGGAGTCCCTGAAGGAATGAGGTAAGGTTAAAATCTGGTAAAACTGAATTTTCTTAAATTCGTTTGGCGAATGGCGTCAAAAATGGCGGCATATTTTGTTAAATCTTTACTAGATTTTCGCAAATGAGTCTTTAAATAGATTTTCTAATTATTATTTTAATATGTACTAATTTCGTGGGGGATCATTTCATAACTTAATATTAACAGAAAATCAATCCCCCACTTTACGCCCAATCAAGCATTATATTAATATTAATTTATCCATGCCCTAAAAATGACAGCATATATTGTTTTCCCATATGAGTCTTTAAATATAGCTTTCGAATTATAATAATATGTGAAAATTCTCTAAGAGATTAATTTATTACTTAATATCGACGAAAAACTAATCCCCGTTTTTATGCACAATAAAATCTTATATATTAATACGAGTGTAACTGTACCGTACAAATTTGGGACATGTTTTGTTAAGTCGTTTATATTATTAAATTTTTCACATGTAAATTTGAAATATTTTCCAATTATAATACTGATATATAGTAATGATATGGAAATCAGTTTACTATTATAGTTTTACCTGTGTATCTGGGGGATCAATTCATTAAATGATAACAATAGAAAACTGATCCCCCACTTTATTCTCAATAAAATCTTATATTAATACTAATTTACCCATGTTATCAAAAATGATGATATAGTTTAAGTGTTTAATATTATAGTTTCACTTGTGTATCTGGAGGATTAGTTTATAGAAAAATGACCCCTCACTTTATGTCCAGTAGAAGTGATGGTATAGCTTAAGAGTTTACTATTATAGCTTGACTTGTTTATTTGGGGGATCAGTTTATTACTTAGAAACAGTGTGAAACAGATCCTCCACTTTATGCACAGCAGAATCATACTACTTCACCGATACAGTTAAAAATGACGGCATATTTCATTAAGTACTTACTATTATTAGAGTATTTCAATTTGAACCCCTAAGTATATTTTCTAATTATATTGAGTAAGAACGGAAGTACCTATCGTTTTTTTCAATAGGTGGCGTTTAAAACTCAGATATTGTGAACTAGAATGCTTCTTATTCTGGAATCTTAGAAAGTTTTCGGTCGTCGTGACATCAGAGTTTCTTCCAAACCGAGAGCAATTATTTCTCGACTAAAATTCTGAAAAGTAATAAAACTTCGATATGTCTATAACATTTCATTTTAAAAAATTTTTTTTTTTTACTTTCCCCAAGCCAAAAAAAAAAAAATGGGTGCTGGTCTTAAGAACCCTAGCTGAGGTTCCGGTAATAATTTTCTGAAGATGTTAACCTTTTCTAGACAGACGGCACATTTTCAGTTTGGGCTTAATACTTTATATAGCAACGGTGGGGAAAGCCTAGCTATGGGTTCTCCACTTTTCCCTGTGATTGTCAACATTTAGTTGGAGTTTTCTTTCTTTCTTTCTTTCTTTCTTTCTTCAAATCCCGTTGAAAAATTTGGTCTGAATGACATGTTTATACTCTGGCCATCACCAAGCTGAAATACAAGCCCCTTGACCAAGACCATGCGAACTTAAGCAGACCGTCTATCCAATTCGCAGTGGGAAAAGAAGACAACATGTACTATTAAAATAAGAGAAGAAAACTCTGGATTCAAAATCCACAGGAAACCATACCACAATTTTTCCCTGTAAATAGCAGTTTACATACAATAAGGAAAAGGACTGTGGGAATGGTTAAGTAAGCTTGACATATTTGGGAAAAAAAGATGTTATTAATTTTCTATGCAATATGCAGAAGAACTTATACTGGGAATTAACCCGCGCCTGCATATTGCATAGAAAATTAATTCAATAAATATACAAAAGTAGATTCTTTTTATATTGTTCAACCTGTACAAGGCCTGAGAGTCACTCGAGTTAGAGGATTAAATTTTAAGAGGCCTAGCTTATGTGGGGAAGACAACAGTTAACCCTCGACTTGAACAGGTTAAGATTGTAGTGTTCGGGGAAGCATCCTCTTGGGAGTCACTTTGTTCTACTTCGAGGTAGAGGGTTACAGAGTAAGAGGCGCCGTTTATGCGGATATGTGGGGAAGACAACGGTTAACACAAAACTTGAAGAGGTTAAGATTGTAGTGATTAGGGAAGCATCCTCTTGGGAGTCATTTCCACAAATTAGCGTCTCCTGGGAAGAAGCTGCTCAAGTGGAAAATTCCATCTCACCAGCAGAATAAAGACTGGAATAAGAGTGGTTCGCTACTATTGGCGTGGCATGGCGGCTCCAAGCCGCGAAGGTGAGGAACTGGTGAAGCTAAGGAATGTTGTTCGTTTGAAACTTTTCCATGGAAATAGTGATAGAGCTGCGAGAAAAAGAAGGTGTAGGGTGGTAAAATAATTTGTCACCCACAAGGTCGAGGAGACGCTTTTGAACTCGACTGGAAAGTGAAGACTGGGCAGCTCCTGCCCATATATAGCAACAGTATTTTCGGCCTGATCTGTGGAGAAGCCGGGTACTTGCTGGAGCGGTACAGAAACCCGATCATTTTTCCAGCATCTTTATGGATCGTATGTACGAGTTTCACTTTAAGTCTGGCGCCGACCTGAGAGAACATCCGTTCATCGTGATTGCTGATAGTTCTGGAACGGAATGGCGTTTATGAGAAATCGCCGTCAGTGTATTTAATGTCATTTATTTGCCTGTAGATAGGAATATCCGACTTTTTCACAAAACGGCCCAGCAAAGCCATGTAACAATGTTATCAGAATATAGCATTGAAAGTGTTGATTAGAAAAGTGTGTGTTTTTTATTCACCATAATTTAGAAGCCTTGGAGACTGATTAACTGAGAAGTGTAGTCGACAATTTCAGAATAGAAAAAAGCGTTTAAAAGTATTTTTCCTTCAAAAAAGATGTTAATTTCCCAAATTTATTTTTCATTTCTCTCATCCTTTTAGAAATAAAATGTTAAAAATATATATTGCAGATTACATTCTTTTATCTTTCAAAGTCGCCCTATTTTCTCCTTACACCGGTTCCCGTACGATCACCGAAGTTAAGTAACGTCGAGCTTGGTCAGTACCTAGATGGGATACCACTTGGAAATCCCAGGTGCTGTGAGCTTGGATTGATTGGTGTAATGGATAATAGCTTGTAAATTGTTAACTGGAGAGCTAAGTTCCAATTCTAATTGGGTTCGTTGTATTTACTTACGCGCAAATACGCTTGGGAAAAGCACAGATCAACCACTTCTCCCTTCAGCTATGGGTTAATTAGTAAGATTTGTCTCAATAAAATAAAAAGGCAAAAACGATCTTAAAAACATTTTTTGGCTTTAAATAACCCGCAAAAGGTTGATAAGCTGTAAAAAAACGAATCAACCAACCAACTTCCTCTACAAGAGAGGTACGTTTTTACCAAACTTACATTGCCTGCTGTTTTCAAAACACTGTCATCCCTAATGTCTGCAGAAAACTTAACGCTGTCATAGTTAATGAGAATATCTAGAAATGGGATTTTCTTTTTTTATCAATGTTTAGTTTATAAGTGAAAAACGGAAGTTTTTTCAAAAATATTTAAACGATTCAAAAATATTTAAATGTTCTATGATGTTATTGACGGATTTGATCTGAATATAAATGTCCTAATCTGGAATGGTGGGTTTATCTTTCTCATTGCATTAAGAGTGATGGGGGTCAGTGTAATACCGAGGTTGGCATGACAGTGGTCTCGGGGGATGGGCAAAACGACTTTTTTTGTCCTTGGCCCATATCCATGTGTATATATATCCGTATGGCACTCTCCACATTTTAAACCAGCGTTGGTGGGGAGGCCGGATAAATATACTTATCTATTTGAGAAGGAAAAGAAATGTTTAAAAGTATTTTTTTTTTTAATGCTAAATTCCCAAATTTATATTTTATTTCTTTCGAGCACTTTGACAAAAATATTATATATATATATATATATATAAAGCATTATATATATATAGCATTATATATATAAGCATTATATATTATATAAGATATATATAAGCATATATATATATATATATATATATATATATATATATATATATATATATATATATATTACGATAAACGTGCAATCAATTTACAAATACATGAATAACGGATTCGGAGGTTTTTGTATATTATTTGAATTGTTTGCGATGATGGATGTCTCGCCATTTAAATCATTAACCTTTGCATTAGTTTTTGTGTGAATAATTCATGTATATATATATATATATATATATATATATATATATATATATATATATATATAAGCATTATATATGTATATATATATAAGTATTAACTTACTAACAATCCACTGAATGACACGATCCTTATGTATAAAATTGTTGTCAGATGGATCTGGTGCATTTTTAGAGCAGCAAGTACTTTCAAAAACTTCATGTTCTCATCGTCAGGCTGTAATTTTTTTCATTAGAAATAAAACTTTAAGACGAAATAAATGTACTATAGACCAAAAGATGATTTTTTCAAGAATGTGTTATTTATTGACGGTTATATAATATTGAATGTGCAAGTCGCAACGCTAGAGTTCAAATATTTCAGCTGAGATTTTTTGAATATATATATATATATATATATATATATATATATATATATATATTAAGACATGATTTGTTGTATAGTTTAGACATGTTTTGTTTACTTATTTTCGATAAGATCCTTTCAGATTCGCGTATAAGTTTTTGATGTCATTATTAAAGAATCGCCGTGTTTATACATATTTGTTTTATTTCCAAGTACTTTCGCAATATCCATGTCACCATCAGGGTATTGTTTATAAACAGTACCCTGATGATGATATGGATATGTCGAAAGTACTTGGAAATAAAACAAATATGTATAAACACGGCGATTTTCTCTCGTTTTTTAATAAGTAGACAGAACATGTCTAAACTATACATCGAAACATGTCTTAATGAAAAAACATGCTGCCGAAATATACGCATATCTCTCTCTCTCTATATATATATATATTATGTTAATAAATAATATATATATATATATATATATATATATATATATATATATATATATATGTATATTAGTAAAAATATATGTATATATCGTATTAAGTCGCCCGATTTTCTCTTCAGTATTCCAAAAACTGAAAACTATTTCCGATAATACTTAATCCTAATTTAACACTACATCAAAATATTTCTCCATTAATTCCCGCTTTTGGCTGCGGGTCGCATCAGTTAAAATCTTATCAACAATTCAAGGCTTCACTACTGTCAGCCCGGCAAGATAAGGCCTCTGATTGGGAGATTGAAGTTTTTGAGGATCATGGACCCATCTCTTAATTGTTGTTCTTCTCAGGTCCACCCTGGCCCCCGGGATAGTCCCAGTTACGGGAAAATAGTGAACCCCTAAATACTAGGAAAGTATAAAATACATTTTTCTAGTAAAAATACCAGCAATATATTTTATTGCTGGTATAAAAATTATATATATATATATATATATATATAAAATTTTATATATATTTATATATATATATATATATATTTTATATATATATATATATATATATATATAAAATCAACTATTCCTATTGATAGTTCATCATTATCATCATCTTGACTGTTGTAATTGTCGGGCAGATCCGAATGCAGAAGCCACACTAACTCTTTTCCACAATGGTCTATCAACGGTAGCCACCAGCAGTTCTTGTAGTCATACCTGTCCATTGTTTGACATTATCCAGCCAATTTTTGTTGGCGTCTTCTCCTATGTCCAATTTCAACAGTGCCTTGCATGATGGTCTTGTACGGGTTGTCGTGCCTTGAAATGCGTCCAAACCACGCTATTTTCCTTCGTCTGCGTGGCGAGAAGTTCCTGGCAGCCCACAAAACTTTCTTTTCCGCACAAACTCATTGGTTTTTTGTTCCCAATAGAAAATGTCAAGGCTTTTTTTCATGCATTTCTTCTCAAACGCTTGTATCCTTCTCTCTGTATCTGTCCACAGTGTCCACGTTTCACATGTATATAGGAGAATGGAGACTACCAGCGATTTGTACAGTCTGTACTTCTTTCAAAAGCTGATTTTGCTCCTCCATATTCTTGTTAATTTGGCCATCGCGGGCATTGCTGCGGAAATCCGTGTGCGGATTTCCGAGTTGCAGGTACCAGCTTTAGACGACATTGCTCCTAAAAAAACTGTACACTTCCTCCTGTGAATTTCCATTCATGGTAATGCTGACACAGGTATTACTGTTTGTGCTATTCACCATTACTTTGGATTTTTCAGAGCTGACCTCCATTCCATATGCTCCTGCTCTTTCAAAATGTTTGTTGGTCAAGTCTTGGCGTTCATTATTACTACCTGTTATGAGGTCAATGTCATCTGCAAAACAAGAGTTACAGACCGGTCTGTTACCGATAGAGATTGATGGATCATAGTCATTCAAGGTTTCTTTTTTTCTTTTTTTTTTTTAAGCATTACGTCCCGAGCAAGGCGTGAAGCCACTAGGTTGCAGGGGGTTGCAGAAGATTTGGAGTGAGAGCAGATAGGAGTGATAGAAGAAAGGATGAGAAGAAGGATAATGGGTAGATCAAGGTAACTTGATTGACATTACATTTGAATAGTTGGAGATTATAGCTTTCAGGGAAACAGTAATTGGGAAGGGTGTTCCACAGGCGAGAGGTGCGAGGTATGAAGCTATTGGAGTAGAAGAGACGGCTACATTAAAAAGTTTCTACAGTGTAAGGGTGGGAGCGGGATGCCAGCCTCGTAGGGCGCTTGAATTCATGGAGTCTGGGAACCAGTGAAAGCAGCTCATCGGAGCAACCACCATGAAAGTACTCATGATCCTCTCTATAAATAGGTTAAATCATGTGGGTGAAAGTACGCAACCCTGTCGCACGCCGACAGTTTTCCGGAAGAATCCTCCCATTGGTTTTCCCAGAAGAACTCCGCTTGTGGTATCTTTATATATATACAATTCCGTTACCTACAATGAATTCTCTAAGGATCTGCCAAAGACCGTCATGCCATACATGATCAAATGCTTTCTTGAAATTAACAAAGTTGTGGAACACATCCTTCTGATGTTGCAGATGTTTCTTTACGAGGATCCGACAATTGAAGATCTCTTCCAATATTTATAGCAAAATGACCAAAAATAGATTTTATCTGTAGTTGAAGGCATACAATTGTGTTCTAAATATTTAGATTTCGGCATTAAATAACTCATAGATGTTGATATGCCGCTAAATAAAATGAACCGACCCTGTAAGATATGAATGCATCGTCTGTTTCGCCTAACCCTATATTCCCGGCAGAATGTCTTGAAGGAAGTCAGGCAAAAACTAATTGTTCTTAGAGCGATTTATCGATCCGTTCAGTCAGAAGATGGTTTCCATATACCATTTCCTGTACAGATACGGATTCTTTATTCTCTTTTTGCGATTGTTTTGGTTTCATCTGTGCAATTATTTCCTGGCGAGAAGGATTACAAGAAGTGTTACAGATATTCTCACCGACATTTACAAGCGTAACGATTTCCGCATCTCTCTCTCTCTCTCTCTCTCTCTCTATATATATATATATATATATATATATATATATATATGTGAAGAAATATACTCTTAAATTGTGCTATATTTATGGGATAAAGTGCTCAATATCAGAGATAGAGCGTGTGTAAATATAAAAATTGAACAGTGAAGTCAACACTCAGAGGCGACAGTCTGTTTCATGCGAAACGCAATCGTCGGGCATTTATAGGCATTTAAAACAACATGCCTGTCCGCGTACACGATTCCGGAAAATCCTTGTTGAAAACACAACTATGTTTAAACATGAAAACAATAAACAAAAACTAAAAAGTCTTGAAGCTATATACATAAAACAATTGAAATCTAACCTGAACAAAATAACTATGAAATCTCCACAAATATTCTTAAATGCTTATAATTGATAACAGAAGCCATTGGTTTATACCAACGGCTTTCCATACTTAATACTTCTCGTTTTCACTCTCGCGTGGTCATGTGTGACGTTACGAGCTGCGACGCGATTTTCACTTCCGCGTCTCGTATACACGATTTAGTCGTTGCTTTGAAATTTTTCATGCA